TTAGACATTGACAGCTAACTTCTCACTTGGGATTCTCTCACTGATCCCACCCTTACCTCATACTCTTCCCTGAACCCTGTGTTCTTTCTTTTCTATCTCTCCCCCAGTTAGCACAGAAACTTAGTTGTGCACACTTAGATCTTCACTTCTTGTTCTGTTGGTGGTGAAAAGTGTCTCTAAAAACACACCTCAAGCTTTAGTCTTCTTTCTTTTCTGAAACAATCAGGGCATTATCTCCTGTTTTCCCTTTTTGTGATCCAAGAACATGTACACCCTCACCCTGCCTTCCATGTGTCCTTCCCTTCTACTTATCTGTGTCTTGCAACTGCACCTTTACTTTTCTGTTGTCAAGGTTGATAGTATTCTTTCTGAGATTTTATAATCTGTTCTAAAACATTTCTAAGATCTGTCTTTGGAATAATTCTGAACATTGAAGACCAGTATTGGTATATATTTAGTTCTGTAAATACTGTTCACTATAGAACGAGCTAGTCTGTTGGAATTAAATTTAATTTATGATTTGAGTGCCCCTGAAAGGAAAATTTTCCAACAATCAATTTCTCTCATCTCTTTCCTCTCTTCACCCTGCTGCCCCACTACCTACCCTCGTGCCCTGAGTTGCATGTACCAAAACCTCCAGGATTTTCTCACTTTTCAGGCATTTTGTCTCTTTTGTCTGGAGTCTCTTCTCACTTCTTTCTGGATCCCTCCCTCTCCGCCCAATCTGGAGTAGTTACCCTCCAGGGCTCCTGGGCATTTACTCTGAGACTTCACTCCCTTTAGTGCTTTCCTGTGCTGCACTCACTTTCTCTACCACATTTCTCCTCTTTCTACCTCCTCATTTTGCTAGAGGTAAAATTTCTGAGTCGTCAGATATTTGAAAGTTTCTGTAGCCCTCATATATTTATTTGACAGTTTGGCAGTAAGTAGCCTCACTTTCAATTGCTTTTTTCCAGTATTTGGAGTATATTACTCCACTGGTGGCAGTTGATTCCTGGACCCTTATAAATGACCCGTTTTTCTTTCTGGAGGCATTTAGTATCTTCTCTTTGTTCTCAGAGTTCTAAAGTTTAAACATAATGTATTTAAATGTGTTTTTTTTTTTCATGAATTACAAACTTGAAGTTTTCAATGTTATGTAAGGCCCTCTGCACTCCCTCCTAACTTTCTTATCTCATCTCATTCTGCCCGCTTGCTCACCTTGCTCTAGTCACCCTGCCTCTTGTTTCCAGAACATGCTTAGGGTCTTTGCATGCGCTATTCCCTTTGTGTGGAGTGTTCTACTTTCAGACTTCATTCATAGCTCACTTCCCTATTTCCTCAGGTGTTTGTTCAAATATCACTTCCTAAAATGTCATTCTGTCCTAGCTATCCTATTTAAAAACTCCCCCCATCATCCAGGCACTCCTAATCCTCTTATCTTTATAGAACCTAAATATAAGATATATGGAACTGTTAAGTAAAACATATATGCAAACTGTGATTTGTAAATATGTATTTAGTCTTTGCTCCATGCCAGAGCTCCTAAAGCCTTTGTTATTTCCTAAGTGATAAGAGTTATAGGAACATTTTTTTGTTATGATACCTGTTTTTTGTAAAGGTGAAAGGAACAACTTATTATGCATAACAAGCCCTTTTCAACCACTACTGAGTTTCTGTTAATGCCCTTACTTTTGTAAAGCCTCTAAGGATAGGGACTCGTTGCCAAGGGAACGAACCATGTGATTAAAGGCTGAAATTGTTAGCACTTCTCTCTTTTCCACCTTCCTCCACCTCCAGGGAGGAAGGGAAGAGGGACTGGAGATTGAGTTCAGTCACCAATGGCCAATGATTTAATTAATCATGCCTACTTAATGAAACCTCCACTCAAACCCCTAACCAAAGAAGCTTGGAAGGCTTCCAAGTTAGTGAGGAAATGCTGGAAGGGTGGAAGCCTGGAGATGGCATGGAAGCTCTGCACTCCTTTCCCATACTTTGCCTTATGCATCTCTTTGAGGTGGCTGCTCCTGAACTGAATCTTTTTATAGTAAGTCAGTAATCTAGCAAGTAAACTGTTTTCCTGAGTTCTGTGAACCAGTCTAGCAAATTATTGAACCCAAGAAGGGGTGGTGGGAACCTCCAGTTCATAGCCAGGAGGTTTATTTTAGGAGTGAAACTTTTTGTTTGGTGGTGTCACTTTATGATGAGCTGACTATTACTCCAGAAGTCTCCCTTCAAGATGGAATGCAGAGTGCTTTGATTTGAGGGGGGCAAACACCCACAGTAGCTGCCTTAGGTCTCCCCAAATAGTTTATTTAACTTTCTTAGATAAAAGCCTAGCTTTTTACTTGACTGCCTGACTTGCCATATAATATGGGAATATGGAACCTAGGGCTGCTTATATAATGCTTCAAATGAATATCTTTGTTTTTACTTTTTTGTTGTAATTTATGAAAAATCTACCTATACAAAAACAGACTAGTAAAATAAAGATTTATAAATTCATAACCTAGAGTTAACAATTGTCAATATGTTGTCATATATGCTTTATTATTTTTTATCACAACTTTTTTTTATTAAGGTATTATTGATATACACTCTTAATGAAGGTTTCACATGAAAAACAATGTAGTTACCACATTCACCCATATTGAGTCACCTCCCATACCACATTGCAGTCACTATCCATCAGTGTAGTAAGATGCCACAGTCACCATCTGACCTGGGAATTCCACTCCTAGGAATTTACCTGAAGAAAACACTTCTCAGATTCAAAAAGACATATGCACTATGTTTACTGTAGCACTATTTGTAATAGCCAAGAAATGGAAGCAACCTAAGTGTCCATCAGTAGATGAATGGATAAAGAAGATGTGGTACATGAACACAATGGAATACTATTCAGCCATAAGAAAGAAACAAATCCTACCATTTGTTTTTACTTTTTACTCCCATCACATTTCATCTGGCAATTCCAGGCCCCCAAATGTAGTTTGGCAGGTCACATTATGCCCTTCTGTGGCTACTCCTTACCATGAGAGACTCTCTCTACCCTCTTGATTAACTACCACTCCATTATCTGCTTATCATCTTTAAGAAATGTATTGAAAACCATTGTTACTTAATAATTCTCTCAATCCTATTTACTTTATTGTTTTGAGTTAGTACTTAACTTTCTTGTTTATTTACCATCACATTAAGGATATTAAAGGAAGGAAAGAGGAGAGAAAAACCTTGTCATTAGTTTGCTTGTCTTGAGTTAGAATTCATTTAATGATTGAACATAGAGAACAGAATTTGAATTTATTTTGTTGATGTGGTCTTCATTATAAATCTCAGTTATTGGGATGTATTCTAATTGTTTAAATACAGATGTGAGATACAGAGCTGACTGTGTTCTTAAGTCCGGTAGAAGTTATGGAATATGATTTCTTTGAAAAAAAAGTTACTGATTAATGATTGTTCTGGGGTTATCACTACAGCACCAGGACTAAAAATTTTCTAGTTTTATCTTTCAGTAGATGACTTTGCTTCTCACTGCATTCTTATTATAAAGCCTGTCTATTATGAACTTTCATTTACCTTAAAGCATCCCAGTTCCCAATTCATGCTCCCTTGTTGTTCCATATGAAAATCTGGAAACCTTTCTTTGCTGAAGCTAACTCCTTCATTTGCAGTCTGAAGCCTTGGGACTGTTCTTCTCCTGCATCTGCATTTACATATATGTTTGGGACTTTGTGTTCTTTTCCTGCATCTGCATTTACAAATATGTTTGAGTTTTCCCCTTAAAAAAAAAGTTTCCCCATCTTTTTCCTGAAGCTACCCTTTGATCTGGTGAAGTTTTCTTAGTTTCCTTTCTAAGTTCCTCCTCCCTTTAAATAGTAGGCATTCTCTGAGTTGTCTGTCTTGAGTCTACTTTTTTTCTTGCACTTTTCCTAGGGAATCATATTTATTCCCATGACCAGCTATCACTGAGCATTAACCCCCCCTTTCCTGTAGTTCATATGCTTGTTTGCATTAGTGCCACTCAGTATAGTCAAAGACAAATCATTATTCCATGCTCTGCCCCATCCTCCTATCTTTAAAGAACAAAACAATAGATGAATCACATGCACACTCTTTATCATGTTGAGTCATCTGATTACCATTTTCCCAGTCATCTAGGGATACATTAGAAAGGAATAGTTGTAAGGCTTGGAAAAAATCCAAAGTTATTATAATCTGAATCAGAGCAAGGTTAGTTTTAAGTGTGTACGTGTCCTTGCCCTCAGACCTCATAGTTTCTCTTCAATGTACTTAGCCTATCTTATGCATTTTTCTGATTACCTGCAGGTCTGCAGTTAAGGCCTTACGTCCTGGAGGGTTACTTGTGTACTCTACATGCACACTTTCCAAGGCAGAAAATCAAGATGTGATCAGTGAAATTGTAAACTCCTATGGTAACATCATACCTGTGGACATTAAGGAAATGGCAAAGACTTGCTCCCAAGACTTCACATTTTCTTCTACTGGTCAAGAATGTGGGCTGTTGGTGATTCCAGATAAGGACAAAGCTTGGGGCCCAATGTATGTAGCCAAATTGAAAAAGTCATGGACTGTGTGACATTGGTGATGTGCATTTTGTAAACCATGTCAGTGTATTATTTTATTATGTTCCTGGTCTGCCTATGTTTTAAATAATTATGGAGTCACTTTCCCTGGTCTATTTGGAATCCTATTTAGTTAATACTTCTGCATCTCAGAATCTAGGCTTGAGCATTTTCCAGGTGAATTTTTTTTTCCTAGAAATACATCTATAGCATGATTTAAGGTGGTACAGATGGTGTTTGTTCTGTGTAATAAATCTGCTGTCTTTTACTTGGCATTTTGTAGTTAAATTAATCACAGTACATGGTTTTATGCATAAAATGTTTAGAAATACATTCTATCCATGATGTTGGTGCTTTGAAACTTTAAAAATGTCTGGCCCTCTTATCATTTTTCTCCTTATACAGATTCTTTCAGAGTTCCCCTACCTCCCCTCAAATAAGAACTGGTTGGTATTCGGAGGCTTACTTTTTAAGCAGCACTATTTCTAGTTCTACCAAAATAGGTTTCTTACTTGCCACCTTGTTTGCCGTTAAGGACCATTGTTCTATTTACTGCAAAGGTCAGTGACTCTATTGACAACAGCTTTATTTCCCCACTTTTTTTCTTGTATTCAAAAATACAAATTGAAAGGGTAAATTATGTTGAAAGGCCATTTGAACAGCAGATTCCCATGCATATGTTTGACTTTCAACATTCAGCTTGTGGAATAATGGAGTCTATCCAACAGGCTATAAAGCAAGTACTTGAAACAAAACCAGAATGATTAATAACTGCAATAACTGAACTATATTTGGAGAGTTTTGTTACATAATTGCAGTCATAATGAGCACTATAGAATCTGATTATCTTACAATAGCAATCTGGAGGAGCTTTTTATCTCACTTTATTGTGAAACTGTTATATGAGAATATGATGTCACATATTAATGCACAAGAGGGAGATGCTTAATGAAAGTGGATTATACTATTACCAAAACCTGATACCATTTACTAAGTGGTTCTCCCTGTTTACATATATCCTGGGAATATTGTGTACATTTCTAAGCATGTGTACTTAGGGTTTTAGCTCAGGTTTGGATCATGTGTTTTCTCTAGAAATTGCTTCACTTAGAGGCCAAACATATTTTCCCAACTATTAGGAAGAATTCTGCAGCATACTTCAAAAGATTTATCTGTTTGAAAATCAGCTTTTTTAAAAAAAGTAAACTCTGTCTATAGAAATACAAAATTCTGCTGAAGCTGAATCATTTTGAATTATTACATTCTGTGCATTTAAACTAGAGACTATTTGCTCATCAACGGTTTTCTGTTTTGTAAGAACATATAAATGCATTCTTAGAACTGGGAAGTCCTAGGAAGAAGGTCTTTTCTGTCTTCATTCCATCATTGATTTTTTCCCTTTATCTCTAACCAATGTGTTTACAGAAAAGCTGGATCTCTTGGACTCAGTCAAATATACTGGGTTAGTGAAAAATATTAAAAATAATGGAAAAGATTTGTTTTTTTAAGTTAGTGCTTATTGGTTTGTTTTTTTCAATTTAAAATTCTGTCTTCAGATGTTATAGGTTTAAAAAGTGCATTTATTTTGTGTAAGTTAATCACAAAGTAAATTTTCATAGTGCACTTTGTTGAATGTCATTATTTTCCCAACATAATGCCTTGAAGCATAATCTGGATACCCAGTGTGCATTGGGTCTTGGAATGATTACTTAAAAAGGCAAATATATGTGTATTATATAGCTCACATTATTAGTAGTAATAATTACAATGAAACAGCTGATACTTATGGAACATTTAATATATAAGTTCTTTGCATACATGTTTTTTGATCTTCAGACAACTCCAGGAATGAGTATTGTAGCAGCCTTTTGTGAATGAGAAAATGCAAGCTCAGTGCTGTTCATAGCTTGCCACTAATAAGTAAAGGATGGAGCCAAGAGTAAAACTAGTTCCAAAGGCCAAGCCCTTCTCTCTACACTATGCTATTTCCCAGACTATGTTACATGAATTCTCCAGATCATCAGCTGGCTTTACCCTTATCCTCCATTGCTCCATTTCCTCTTGTATGCAGTTCTCTATTACCAAGTGTTAATCAATGTTTGGGGGAAAAAACCTTTGAAATATTTCAGGATGTGTTCTAAAGAAGTACTTTTTGTGAGTGCAATATCCAGCAATCTCCTAGGGAGGTCTTCCATGCCTTTCTTTTCTTTGCAGATTGGGAACTGAAGAAAAAACATTTGGAGCAGCCTTGCAATGTCATTTGAAAAGCAAGGGGTAATTGATATTACTTTCTGTGACATTGAGTTACTTTCAAAATAGCTTCATAAAATTTTAGGTTGCTTACCAACACATTAACTTCTCTCTGCCATCAGCACACTGCACAGACACTAGTTGCAGAAATAGACTATGAATAAATGTAATGCATTTAAATGGTTTGTACTGAATTTTTAAAGCATCAGATACTATCTGTGGTTTGAATCAAGGCAGCCAACAGTCCTTTATCCTATTACATTATATCCATGTAGCCTTATACTCAAGGTTGCAGGTTACCCCCTTAGCAATATTGTGAAAAATATCCTTTTATACACTGTGAATAGGCACAAAAATAGATACCAGAACACTTGCTATATAACTAAATAAAGTAATCAGAAATCGAATAGGCCTTTATCTAAAAAGGCTTTATGCCAGGGAGATAAGCATCGGATAATCTGCATAGGCTAATGCAACTCATCTAGATATGGAGAGAAAATTGGAACCAACAGCAACAGTTTTATTAGATGCCAAGAAGTCCTTTGATGCAATTGAATGGGACTACTTGTATTATGTGTTAGGTAAATTTGGCTTTGGGGAAAAATATAACAGATAGCACAATTTATTTTCAACCCATTTATATGGTTCAAATCAATGGTTTACTATCTTCCTTTCCTTGCCTTATTGCTTCATTGGAGAAGGAAGTAAGGATGATGCCCATTACTGATGTTACTTTTCAGGCTGACATTGGCGCTGTAATGTAACACACAGATCCCATGGGTATCTGAAGGATATTCAGATGAAGGTTCACAAGTTAACTAATGTCTGCTGATAATCTACTACTTGTGCTGAAAGCCCTAACAGCATCGGTCCTGAAAACATTAAAAATAATGTCAAAATTTGGAGTGGCTGCAGGCTGCAAAGTAATGGGAGAGAATCAGAAATACTATCTTGACAGAACAGTTTCTATTAATATTACTTATTTTATGACATTTAAAATAAAATGAAACTTTAAAAATAATTGATTTGGGATTCTCATTAGGGAGTGATTAAACAATAGAGTGAAAAAAACCCTTAAAAATGGACATGTGATTCAATGCTAAGATTTTTAAAAACAATCGTTCTCTAAATAAGGAGGAAGAAAGCCTGGTAGAGTGTATACCTCTTCAGAATTTAATTAGCTCAGTCAAATATTAACTCCATACCTTTCTGTAACTTTTCACAAATGAAGAAAGTAATTTGCTTAGTCATATGAGACCATATAGTCATGTAGAAACTGGGTGAAAGTATATGCTACTTTAGGAAAAGGACTGTTTGCCTCATTGGTAGCTATTTGAAGGCCCACATCATGACTCAGTTAATCTTGCTATGCCTTGTCAAAAGGAGTTTCCTGCTGCATATTGCTATGAATGAGCCTGTTACACACAAGTAACTATACAACTCGCAGATTCAGTAGAGACTAAAAATGTATATAGCTTTTTGAAAAATAAGAAGCAGGACTTACAGCATCCAGATTCTTCTTAGTCCTTAAAAACAAGCAGGAGTAAAATTGCAGATATTAACAGGAATGGCAAAGTTAAGAGGGGTTAAGCATTGGTGACAGTAGAAAAAAAGGGATTGGGTTAATTTCAGCTTGTAATTTTTAGGTTACAGAGAAAAACATTCTTCATTTACTCATCCGAACAAGGTATTAACAATGGTAAACCTTTCTCTCCTTCTGGTATTACAATAATCACTGGGGTGAGGAATGGAGCAATGTGAGGACTAGACAATTTTTTCTGACTCATTGGGTGTTAGTAAGGAAGAACTACTGTGGATTTGTAGCTCACAGCTTCCAAACTTTAAGAAAAGGGAAGAGGGAACATGGTGGTGGCAACTTGCTCTGTTGCTACCAGAAATTGTTCTGTGTGATATGTGTAGCCATGAGTAGCCAGCATAAGTAGCTATACCACATTTCCACATTGATAGTCATCCCTCCTGACTTGATCATAAAAAAACGGACCTAGATTTTAACAAACGTGTTTAATAAACAGAACAATCATTCACCATTACCTATTTTCTTCAATTGAAAAATCATTACTTTTGTTATATATACTATTACAGATAATCTCTGCTAAATCTGAGTGTGAATCTGTAGTTATGTACATGCATTATTTTCAGCTACCTAGCTAACCTTATCATATAGAGGTAACTGAGAAAGTTCCTTCATCATCTCACAGTATTAAGTTGGCTGAAGCAACTTGATACAGTTTCAGAAGAGGTGACTTTTGAGCCAAGAGAATGTTTCAGGAGAGGTTTCAGTGGGCTCTGGAACATCCTCTGGCATAGAATCTGAGCAAAGGTTTCAGAAGCAAAGGACACCACAATAGGCCTGAAGGATTTAGGGTATGCACCAGAAAGCACATCACAACTCCCACCAAAGTTGTTCTGTTCATCTATCTGGTGTCACACCCTGCATTCACTGAGAACTTTGGTGTCTAGCTCCTGCCCCGGCTGACGGGGAGTTCAACAAGGGCTTGAGGGGAAGTTAACCTGGATGAGAGACAAACCAGACACAAAGAAGGAGACCAAGTCGAAAGTCTGATCAAGGTCTCAAGGTTTATTCTTACGAGGTAGATTATATAGGAGCTAGGAGGGGGAAACAGCCCCAGCTAAAGTGGCAAGGGTTATCTAGGTTGCTAGGATACCTAACTGAAGAATGTTCTCTGGAAAAGATCATGGGTGGGGGATTACTGAGAAAAGACAGAATGTTTTACTAAGGAGGAGATGTTATCACGGCAGCTGCTTAATCTCTATCCCAGTGGTCTAATCACAAACTGGGTCAATTGATCTTTCGTAAATGGGGCAGGTTTGAGAAACTAGAGACCTAGGCGAAAAGGGCGAGACCATTGTTTCTATGGCCTACGGCTCCCGACAAGCTCCTATCTCCTCCATTGGAATTCCTGTCAGGCTGAATTCAATGTCTCTGTGGAAAACCCATCCAATATCCTACCTTTACTGCCTCTCCTTCAGTGGTTTTTGTTTCTATTGTTTTCAGCAACTCACGTTCCCAGGCATTCCCTAGAACTTGGCTTTACTTAGAGCCACACTCTCCAATGGACCTTTCTACACTATGGGTATGTTTTATCTGCCCTGTCCAATGTGGATAATATAGCAGCCATGCATGGCTCTTGAGCATGTGAAATGTGGCTAGTGTTACTGAGGAACATAATAAGGTTTAAATATTACTTAATTTAAATATTACTTAGTTTAAAGCCAGATCTAGAATTTCTCCACTTAGGAAAAATTAATCTCAGTACTTCCTGTTCTTCCAGCTTTATTACCTTTTCATTCTTATTAACAAGTATAGCCACATTTCCTTAACACCTATAGTTTTTAAACCTTTCTCCCCTAAAGCTATCCTTTCTTGTCCTAGTCTCCTTTCCTTATTCATCCTAGACCCTGTGGTTGATGCCTTAAAATCTTTTTCTACAGTGCTTTCACCTCCTGCATGTTCTTGCATTCTACTGCATCTGATATTTACACTTGCAACTCTATATCAGTCCAATAGTTCATGCCTTTACTGATATACCTAGATGGCTGAGCATTGCTTAGAAAAAAAGGAAATCATATAGCAGTACAGATTTATGTCACTTCAAATCCACACATCTGTGCAGGTTGATTTCACTACCAATTTGTGCTCACCTGCCTCTCCTAAGACTTTCACACTGCTCAATAACTTGGGCTATTCTTTGGCCAGTTTCCTTTTCCATTCCCATTAGTGATTTTGCCAGAGTTCCACTATTCTCTACAACTCTGCTATATAAACTCTGTCCTCTTTTCCCTCCCTCCTAATTACTTGAGAAACTTGTGGCCATCAGAGTGAATGTCCTTAATCTTTTGTGATGCATATTCCTCATTTTATTTAAAAGTACCACTGTCCTTCTGACCTCGCAAGTTAGAAACCAGGACATCATGTTCAATTTTTCTCTTCCCTCTTCCTCACTCCTACTTCTAGATAACAAGTCTTTCCTTTCTTTAGTATTCTCTCTCGCTGCCATTGGCATTGCCTTAGTTATGGTTACCTGGGCTATTGAATTTTCTTCCCAATTCAACTTCCTCCCATCTCACAATCCACACTCTTTGTTGCTGCTAAAGTGCTCTTCCTACAACAAAATCTCATCTTGTCTTTACCCTGCTTAAAATTCTTCAATGGCTCTCCATTGCCTATAGGATGAAATCTAAGCCATTAGCATTTCATACAAAGGTCCTTTTGCTTTGAGATCTATATTTCTCTTCCACTCTCACTGTCTTTCACCTGCACAGATACAAACACACAATTATATCCTCTTTAAGTTTGTCAAAATTTGAATAATTGTACCGAGGAAACCTAATATCACAATGTGTAAAGTTTCCCAGCTTCTTAGTTGGGATACCCTTCAAGTAACTTGCCACATTTCCCAGTCTATAATTAGCTAGAGTTCTATTAGAGGACATGATGTTATTTTTTTCAAAGTGATTTAGATATTTAAAAATAGTCTTTTTGTTCTTATACTCTATCTGAAAACAATGTAGTTGTATTTTAGGCTACAGTACTTAGTTTTTCCATAGTGAACTGAAAGAACAGTCAAACCATTTTCAAAAGTTTGTGCATTGAACTGAGAGATGTAAATTAAATAGAGAATCCATGATATTACGGGCATGCTTAGGCATGCATATAGTGTGGGAAAACTTCAAAATGAAATAGGCTCAATAATAAGGTTGGAATGCCGATGGATAAATCCATAATTGTCTTCTGCAGGATACTTCAAACCTACAAGGAATCCAAGGGCAGAACAGCAGATGAGAAAGTCTTAAAATAGAAAATGAAATTGTACTTCAGCACATCAAGGACAGTAAAAAAATAGATTATTAAAGTAGCACTTGAAGAAACTATAGAAAGATCTTATTCTCTGTAAACTTACCAGTTACTCCAGAGTTTTTCTTTTCTTTGAAATGTGAAAATTAATGAGATTTGGAGCTACTTCTGCCTTTAACTTAATCTGTGACATTAAATAAACCTCAAATTTTCTAAACCTTGGTTGCCTGATTTTTAAAGTAAAATAGATTAAGGGAAGTGAATATGTTTCAAGTCATTTCTGTTTTGCAGGCAATGTTCTAAGTGTTTACATACTTGTTGTTTTACTTAATCCAATCTCTTCTCTTTCTAAAAGTTCTCTGACCTATAACTAAGGTGCGGTAAAGGATTAATACTGTATAAAAATGTCAAGAGAGACACTATAGAGTAGAGGACCAAAATCAGTCTAAGAGCAGCTGGTAAATAGAAGAACAAGGTCTGAGTAGGCAGTGGGGCTGACAAGGCAGAAGCAGGCAGAAGAGCCTGGTTGAAGAGAACAACTGCCCATGGTAGTTCACATTCTTGGTGATTACTTTCATTTTGCTAAACTGGCATTTCTGCTAAGCCAACATGCCAGAAAACCTGCTTGTTTCTGTCTCTTTTTCTCAAAAAACCAGTCTTTGTATATAAGCATGATGTTTTTCATTAATTTGAATCTCAAATTCTGGTAATATAATACCCCTTTTAAAAAGCAAAAAACATTCTCTGAGATCCCAATGTGTTACTGATTATTTTAAATAGAATAGTATATAACATTCTGCATAACAACTGTAAAATCCACAAAACCTTGTAACATTTTTAAAAGTTGAAAGTAAAGTAAAAAATTATATTAATTGAACATGTCAGATGATGCAGTCCTTTGGAAACTGTTATTGCCACTTGAAATTTGAGCATGCTATTAAGATGTAGGGCTTTGGAGTTCAGCCTGTCTTGGTTATCATGCATCACATAATTTCTCAGTTCTTCCACCAATTTTTTTCTATTTGGACTACAGATAAACCTTTTATGGTATCTTATGATGCCATTTTGCCTCCAACTTTTTATGAATGCAGAATTTGTGTATTAAGAACACCTTTGAGGTTTTTTAAGTTATTATGTCACAAGTATTAAAATAGTACTGCTTGATTTTAACTTTATGATAACAGAAACACCTTACACACTGGAATCTTATTGTGACCATCCAGATGATACAGAGAATGCTAATATTTCATTTTTTTTAATTTAGAAAAGCTTCAAGTGGAATATAAAATTATGTAAATTCTCTTAGGGATCTCAGTTAACAAAGAATCATCTGAGAACCCCAAGTCCATGAATGTGGTCTGAGAACCCTTCTCTGGTCTTTATTGATATTCCTGAGTAGGAAAATCTGAAGCTTCTTCTGGTAGGTATGTGTTAGAGGGTTTGTTAAT